AACTAAGTATAACTAATAGGTCGATACTAAAGATATAGCGAATAGCTAAGACTTTATTAAAGAATATACTACTTACTTAACTAAGAAAAAAAAGTATAAGACTAAGTAAGGTAAGGAAACCTATTAGCGTAAGAAGACGCTATTAAATTAGTAATAAATCCCTATTAAATCGCTACTAACTTCTTAATATATTAGTATACTTAAACGTCTTATAACTATATATAAAATAGTAAAATAAGAGAATAAGGAAAACTATTTATACTACCTATTAAATATTATTAAGGAAAATAAAACTAAACTATAACTTTATTAAGGCCTTAATAATAAAAGAGAAAAGGATAGTTATAGCTAAATAAAAGAAAGATAAGACCTATCTATTACTTTTAACTACCCCTCTTTTTTACTAGTATAGCGGGAACTAACTAAGGCGCCCCCTTTACTATACTAAATACTTTTAGAAATACTAAAACTACCCTATCCTTTACTTCTTTCTTATCCTTTATATTAAGACCTATCTTTATTAGTATAGTACTTACCTTAGCCTTAGTAAATAGTAAGGCGTATTACTATAAAGTATAGCCTATATCGCTATTAATAAAGTAGAGTTTTAACTAGGATTCCTAGGCTTAATACTCTAAGCTTATATAGGCGATATCGAATAAGGGCGCGGGGTTAAGGTAAATAATAAGCTCGCGGCGCTTATTAATTAGTATATAATAGTTAGTACGCTTAACCTAGTATATCGTTAAGCGGTCGCTAATAAAAAGGTCGGATAAAACTTATAATAATAGACTTTTATATACCTATAGTCCTAAAGGACTTATAATAAGCTATCTTAGCGGCGTTAAAAGCCTTAGCTAAATACTATATTATAATAGTAAGATAGCGCTAATTAGCCTCCTTAAAAATAAGTATACTTATATCTAAGCTATTATCCTTAGTATCCTTATTACTAGTCTTTAGCTTATTAAGCTTATATAAGTACTTAATAATAGTAACTATATTAGCTTAGTTATTAAATATAAGAGTAGCGGCCTTAAAAAAGATTAGCTTATTAATCGTAATATTTAAAGTTAAGGGGAAACTTATTTAGTTATAGGTCGCGGTATATTTATAGTACTACTTATAGCGTATTAAGGAAACCCCTAAGAAAATTATCTAATTAAGAGCACCTTAATAAGCTTAGGCTTAGTTATATTATACTCCTTAACGACCGTCTTAAAATAATATATATACTAGAGTTTATAAAAGATAACCTTATAAGCTTTAACTAAGCGGGCTTTAGCCTTAGATTAGGTGCGCTTTTTTATAAGAGCGCGACTACTTTATACCGCCGCTTAGGTGCCTTTATCTCTAGCGCCGCCGTTCTTAGGTTTATTAGTAAAAGGAGTTAGATTGCGGCTATCTCTATTATTACTATTATCGTTATCTTAGCCCTTATTTAGCTAAGTATTAAGATAGTCTTAGCCCTCGTTTAGCTAAGCCTCGTTATTAATATCGGCCTACTTATTTTAAGGAGCGGCCTAGGCGATAATCTCTTATTAGCTAGAGCCGCCCTATTAAGATAAAGTAGCTAGGTTATCGGTACTTACCTAAGAGCGCTTAAGTACGATCTCTTTACTAGTATTAGTATCGCTAATAAAGGTAATAGACTTATAAGTTTCTTAGCTTATAGAGGTAGGCTTATTAATAGCCGGAGCTAGGGTATTTAGCGGGGTAATAAAGGTATAACCCTCGCTAATATTAGGTCTTAGACTAAAAGTCTCTTAAGACTAAGATTCCCTTATACCTTTCTTAGCTTTCTTCGCTAAAAGGGAACTAATATCGCTATAAGACTTCTAGGCTAATCGCTTATACTTTAAAGGTAAACCTACCGCTACTTACTCTTATATATAGTATAAGAAATCGGCGTTATAGTTCTTTATCTTCTTTAGCGTAAAAGGTATTATCGTTAATAAATCGTTAATAAAAATTAATATAAAAAGGTATAAGGGATTAATAAAAAAAAGCATAAAACTCTATAGTAATTATAGGCGGAAGAGTTAAAGAAGAAAAGAAAATAAAAGAAGTAAGAGATATATATATACGCTCTTTATATTATAGTTACGCGGCCGATATATAAGTAATACTATAACGGTTACTTAGCGGCTACTATTAGTATAATAACTATTAACGTTATAGAGCGTAAACTAATATATACTTATATAAGCGTATACGCGCGATATATAACCGAAACTACCTCTCTTTTTAACTAAATATATATAGTATAGTAAAAGTAATATATATTAAAGATATAGCTAAGATATCTATATAAGAAAAGAGATAATTATAAGAACGCTACTAAGAGGTATAGGCTAATAAAGTACTTAGGTACGTAGTATTAATATATTAGTAGGGTATTAATAAGGAATCGTGCCTACCTTACTTATATATTATAGACCTCTCGCTACTTTAACTAAAGAGTAAAAATCCCTCTTTTTATAAGCTTTAGTCTTATAATAAAAAGAATATAATATATATAGCGTAGTACCTTTAGCTATCTCTACTACTTAACTAATCGTACTATAATATATATTCCTTTATAACTTAATAGTATAGAAGCTATTAATAAGGTAGCGCTACGCTATACTTAAAGGAAGGTATTATATAAGAGTCTTTAACTATTATAAGTTATAAGCTTATACTATAGCCTAAGCTATATAGTTATATATAAAGGGCTAAATCTTATATATATATATAGGCTAGCTATATATAAAAGAGCTCTATATAACTTATTAATATTATCCTATAGATAGTACTTATATATATACTTTTACTTACTTTATAATATATATCCCTTTTACTTAATAAGGTATTTTTATTACTAACCTTATTTTCTTATATTTAGTATTTATTTAGCTTTATATTCTTAATTATTATTAAATTTAATTTTATTTTATAGTTTAGTATTTTATAGTACTAGTTTTAATAATAAGATATAAAATATTAGGTATATTTATATTATTATTAGTAGCGAAAGTTTATAGTTAACTTTTAAAATAGTTTTCTTAACCTTAAACGGTTTAAGTTTATTAAAATCTAATTTATTACTTAGTCGTTTTATTTTAATATCTTATTATATAAGGTAGACTATATCTCCCTTTTAAAAGATTAGTCCCTATAATCTTTTTTAATTATAATAAGTAGATATTAATTCTTTAATAAATTAAAGTTCTTATTATATTTCTTTATATAATTTTTATAGTTAATTTACTTATAGTATTACTTATTTTACTTATAGTCCTTACTAAGTAACCTTAAATACTTCTAGGTTATATCTATAATTAGCGTATATTAGTAAGAGCTTAGTTATTTCTATAACTAAGCTATTATAAGCTAGTTATTATAAGAATATACCCTTATATTCCTATTTTACTATTATAAAGAAATAATAAGTATAGGGAGGCTCTATAAAATAAGCTAGTAAAAAGAGGCTTTATAATATAGTCTAAGGGAATAACCCTTAAAGATAAAGACCTCTACTAAATATCTATACCTTCCTTTAGGAAAAGTAGGTTAAGATAAGCCTATCCTTATAAAATAAAATATATATAAAATGCATAAGTTAATTATAAGTAGAACGGTTACCCTATTGCCTATTTTAGCCTAGCGGTTCTAAAGATATCTATAATACGAGAATAGGTAAGGCATAGAATATTCTAGTTAAATCTACTACTTATACTAGAACCTATAGTCCTACGTTAACTATTACGTTATAATTAGACCACCTACTAAGTTAGGAAGATATACTATAGATAGAGCTTCTTAAGTACTATAGAATATACTAGAAAGCTAATTAATTAGTCTACTAGTAAGCGAGCAATAGTCTATAAAAGACAAAGGATTTCCCTAAGAGTAGTAGATAAAGTAAGTAAGTTTATAAGTATCTTTTATAACGCTATTCTTTTAATATATTATTTAGCCCCTTATATACTTATTATAAATTCCGGATAAAATCCTACCCTATACTCCTTCGACCGATCTTTCCGCTTACGTTATTAATTACCCGATCCTATACTTATTACTTATACCCTTTTATAGTTATATTATTAGTAGCTATTTAACCTAATTATTTTATTTATAGCTAATATAGTATCGTAAATATTATTTAAGTATTTAGTTAAGTCGTTTTATTTATCTATTTATTTATAAGTAATAAGCTATACTAAGCTTATATTTCGTTCTTAATTATACTATAAAAGCTTATTAAAACTTAGCTATAAATATACTTTTTTTTATTAAAGATAATGTGGGTAGGCACCTGCGGCAGCTGCTGCAATGAGACGGTACTAGGGTTAACCTGTGATGTTGTATTCGTCTTGTTCTCTATCTAAGGAGGCAGAGGCCAGCGTGGAGAAAGGGGCACGCTGCCCTCAGCCGCACACGTGACCGTACGGGTCACGTGCCAACCATGGTTGGTCACACCACTAGATAGATACATTCCTACACAGGCAACTCTTCTTTGCTGTGAGCACAGCAACACCTTGAACGGGTCTAAAGGATAGTAGCGTTAAGGCCGTGAAGGAATGTGCCGTGAGGGCGTGTGTCATTATTGCGAAAAGTGGGTCCGACGTCTTGTTCTTAGCTGTAGATATCGGGGAAGAAGTGAAGGGTCTTCCTGATAGGAGCAATCATTTGATCATAGGGATAAGGAGCGGTTAGGAACGTTGTACGTATCCTTCGACTCGAATTGTCAGACTATTGGTATCGATGAAGCGTTCCAGGGCTCGGTTTGGTGATGCTTTCGTCATTGCATCTGCTGGGTTGTCTGCGCCGTTGATCCAACGAATATCTGTTATCTCTCTCTTCTCGTATGACTGGCGAAGGGCCATGATATCAATCATCAATCGTTTTTCCTTCGTCGTACCGAGCTTGACTAGGCATTCGTAGAGAGTACGAATCCGTACAGACGATGAGAGGGATAGGAGGAAGGTTGAGTCGTTCCGTAATTATCTTCATAGTCATCGCAAGGAGATGCCTATGTCGAATCCGTTGGCCATACCGTAGATCTCTGATGCTAGGACGCTACGGGTAACACGTTTGCACTTTGTTGAACTCCAGTGTACGATGTTACCACTAATCTCGAACTGTTTTTCTTTGTGGTTTGTCTCGTTAACGAGGGCAATGACGAATCCTAGTTGGGAGGATAAGTCCTTGTTGTTTGCGAAAGAACCATCGGTGAAAACCATCAGCTTTGCAGTAGCTAGATCAATTGGTTTGTACGTGAGGCCACGTAGTTGGTGATCCATTTGCCATTGCAGTCGCTTGTTCAAAATTGCGTAATCTTTATCCTCAGGGGTCTGTACTTGGGCGGCGACTGAAACATCGAAAGAAGCTTCCGGTTGAGCAATTGAAGCAATGTATGAGGCTCGCGCTCGTTCCTCAACGTAGCGCTGGTGACGATCAATTGCTTTAGGGTCAATGGTGGTCATTTTTGCTGCTTGTCCCTTCTGTTGAAGTAAAGGATCCTTTCTTAAGGGGTTATTATTCAGCAACGTCAGTCTTGCACCATTAAAGTCAACCGTTGTTCCGTATGTGATGTCAGTCTTGGGCTTGGAACGAAATTCTGCCTTTTGTAGCTCTTCTTCTTCACGGGTAGAAAAGTTGTTCGTTCCAAGGATGAGGGTGTCATCAGTTTGCATTCCAACAATACCGAGCGTGTCAGGGCCAGTATTCGAAATCAGTAGGCAGGAGTCATAGGTGGAGGTAGACATATCCAGCTTTTCGAGGTGATGCTGCTGATATGTGCGGAACCAATGGACTCCGGCTTCTGCGATACCGTACAGGGCTTAATAACACGAATAATTGTTCCGTTAGGGTATTTGCCTTGTAGTTCCGTGGGCAAATACGTAAGAATGGTCCGGAAAGCTTGGTCTGGGATTGCGGGTATGCCTGAGTGATATCACGGAGGAGAGGTTATGCCGTAGTTTTGAAGAAGTCCGGGGCAATAGCGAGGATGAGTCTCTGGCTAACGCGTTGAATTGTCGGAGATTGCGTCAGGAGGGTGGTCTTCTCAAAGTCGTTATGTCCTTGAATAACAAGTCGAGACTTTTCGTAGGGCTTAGTGTTGATTCCTTTGACTTCACGAACCATTCGAGAGCGAAAGATTCTATAGTTTCCATGACTCATTTGATCGTATCGTTCAAATTGGAATACACCGCGGCCAACGAGGTCAGTAATCTCTTTGTTATCGGATTCTTCGAAGGGGTCACCAGGAGAGGTGATTATGCCATCAGACCGTAGCTTGAGGAAAGAGCTTGCATCTTCCTCCTTTTGGGTCAAGCTCTGGTCTACGGCTTGGGCCATCATGATCAAATCCTTTGGCTTGTTCTTTGATCCTGGTGGGCGTCCTCTCTTGCGGGGGCGGGGTTCGGGTCGGGCAGGCAGGTCCGTTAGGGTCTTAACGGGGTCTTGAGCCGGTTGTTCATTAAGATCTGAACGAATGCCTGAGGGTCTGTGTGTGTAGGGTCGGAAAGAGTGGTATCATCACGCAGATACGGTTGTACAAGGGTCGATCGAAAGACTTGGGGCCGTTGACTGTGTCAATGGTGATGTTATGGGTATCAATCGATGCAATCTTGAAGGTCCTTGCCAACCGTCTTTCTCTCTCAAACGCGAACTTCACTTTGCAGCGGGAGGATAGCACTTCTGTCGTGCTCGGGCCGTTGCGTGCATGGAGGCATCCTTAACTCGTCTTTCTGCCGAGAGTTGGCGGAGCATTTTCATCGCTTTCTGCATAGCTTCCGATCTTTTGAGGGTAGAAGCGGAAGGGGCGAGTCTGTAGATACGCGAGGGTATGCGCCGAAAACAAGCAACGTAGGCACAAGACCGTCAGGTCCTGCCGTATCATTGATTGCTTTAACAGCCATTTGAAGGACTGTTTCGGCGGAAGTGGTGTGGCCAATCTCAGCATGGAGGATGTTAAAGGCGCGTCGGAGGGTGCGTGATAGCGTTCAATCTTTCCAATGGACCAATGCGTCTCAACAGGTACTTGAGAGCATTTGATTCCCATAATCTTTGCTTCGTTCCGGAATTCGAGAGAAGCAAAGTTAGTTCCTGCATCATGACGGAGGGTATCAGGAGGTCCAAGATACGTGTCGATCCAGAGGGTCCGGAGGGTCTCCCATGTATCTTTAGCTGACATTGACGGTAAAAATCTGGCTCCTTGAAAGCAGTAGCTGAGTCCACAACGTGTAGAACAGGGCGTTGTGGTGTTCCTAGGTGCATCACATCAACGATGATTTCGTAGTTGAACTCTTGATCATCGTTAAGGGTGAACTTGAAGCGGCGTGGGGCTTGTGAGTGCATTTGACAGTGGTGACAGAACTTAGAGATAGTCTCTAATGTGTCTATCGAGACGTCACTGTGCCCGGCTTGCTTCAAGAGGTGATGGAGCCTAGGGACTGCTGGGTGTCCAAAGCGTCGGTGAAGTGTACGAATCTCTGTTTCCGTAAGAAACGAGATGGACTCTTCATCTTTCGTAAGGAAGAACCAGGGATGTCCCCATTTGCGTACGACTGGAATGCTTGTAGGGCGATTAGTACAATGATTAGTACAATTGATGGTATCTGTGATGTTGTTGAAATAGATACCAAGTCGATCCATATCAGCAAGGCAGAGCAAAAAGGGAGTTGGGGTTTGAAGGACGTGGAACGTGATCCTTCCGAGGGGTGTTTTTAGGGCAACTGTGCCAAGGAGTTAATCGTGTCGCCGTTGCCAAATTTGATGGAGGCCTGGCCGGATGTAGAGCTGTCGAGAGCTACAGAAGGATCTTCTCGTTGTAGGGCGATGTACTGAGAATATCCTGCTGTGGAGAATGTTGCTGCACCTGTGTCGATCATGATACCTTGGAATCTATCCCTTGAATAGCGATCTTCAATAATAAATTGCGAGGCTGGAACAACGGTTTGATCCGTCTGATAGACGTCTTCTCCTGTGATCAAATGATTGAATGCCTGTTGACAGAGCATTTGGCTTGCTTGCCATTGTTCCGGGTGATCGTTGGTGCTATTGTCATGTTCTTCCATGTATCTTCAGTGTCATCAAAGCTGCTCATCTCATGACCTTCGTAGTCTAGAATATAGCCTCCGATGTCCGTGAGTTGTACACCTATGAAGTGACATTGAGTGATATGTTGGTCCTTGGCCTTTTGTCGTTCATCCGTAGAGTGTTTAGTTGACCAACAGCCTTCTTGTCCACAAACAAAACACTTCTTCGTCCAGTTTCGGTTACTGTAGCTATGATTGTAGTTACTACGGCTTTGAGGCCGGTAGTTTCCACGGTTGTAGCTTTGTCTGTATCCGCGGCTGGGTCGTTGACCTGAATATCCGTATCTACCTCGAGAGCGGTTGTTATTGTATCGACGGTCGAGGTAGTACTGATGGTGTGGATCGTTATGATCAAATGATCCAGCAAAGTCAAGGGAAATTGAGAAGTTGTTATGAGGGCAAGATGGGTTTCAACGGATGCACGAAGATCTGCAAGAAGGTGCTCGACGTTATCGGCGGGTTTGAAAAGAGCGTATTGGAGTTCGGGTACTCCACGGCATGCTTTCATAAGCGTTGTACGCAGTAGAAGGTCTCCTGCGTACTCCCTGCCAAGGGCTCGTTGGCAGAGCTGAAGCTTATCAAAGAGGATTTGAAGCACTTCGTGGGGTCTTCGAAGCATCTTGGGCACGGATGGAGTTGAAGGTTATTGTTGTCCAGTCAGTATGGTAGTGGACATGGTTGACTTCCGTGTCAAAGTGTTGTTTGAAGATATCATACGCTTGTCGGAACGTCGTAGCCCATGTGATCTTATCAAGATAGAATCTTTGGGCTCTTCCATCAAGGATCCGGGGAAAGAGTGCGTGAAATTGTGATGGTTTCACTGGGATATGAGAGCAGTTGCTTAAGAAGAGGCGGAGCTTATCATCAAGGAGATCGTACGGCTCTCCTGTGTAGTTCCGATCTTTGTTCCAGGTCTTCATAAACTTCTGCTGGATGTCGCTATCGACGATAGCGTTCGGGATGTTATCCGGGGGGAGTTTCATGTATTCTCCAAAGGTTGCAGGGCCGGATAAGTGTTCGGGGATGGAGTTGGTGACGGGTTGGACGAGATCGGGGTTCTGGAAGCGGTAGGAAGTCGGATGAATAGTAAGAGAGGTCGGAGCAGGTTTATCTTGGATAGTCGGAGCAGGAGTAGGTGCGTTAGGAGGGCTCGTTAGGGTCTTAATAGGTTGTGGTTCGTTAAGACCTTGATGAGGTGCTGCTAAGGGCGTAACTGATGGTGAAGGAGGTTGAGACGGATGGGGATTAGTGGAAGCATTTGATCCTAGTAATGCTGTCTGCCTCCTGAAGGCAGCAGTCCTCTCATCAAACACCATCTCCGTAAACTCCTGCTCTGGCCAGGTTTGTGGGTTCTCGATAGTTTGTAATATGAGAAATTGTGTTGCAATTTCCCCTTTGTGAACCTGTGTAGATACCTCTTTTCCTTAGTAGTTTCCTGAGGGCTCTCTTGTATTCATTCAGGGCGCGGTCCCATGTGTCTTCGGTCCATTCTTCAAAATGCTGTTGGAAGTAACCAAGGAGGTCGTATCCTTGATCACTGCCAGATTGAACGATGAATATGAACTTTGCCACATATGTCGTTACTGCGATCTTGTCCTTTTCGTCGTGTGTGATATCGTTGTCCCAAAGGTCGATATTAATTTGTCGGAATGCGGATGCTTGGATGTCTAGTGCCTGCATCTGGTCGCATATTTCTTCGAGCTGGGCTTCTGGGGACATAGCTCGGGCGGTCAGGGCTATCGTGATCAAATGAATGAGACGATGTGGGGTTCGTATTGGTCTCTTCGTATACGAGTTGTCGCTAATAGGAGGTCGAGCGTCGCGTACTAAGTAGGTCGTTCGCGGCCAGACTGAACTGACGGGGATCTTGCTACTTAACGTCAAGGGTCGAACGTTCTTACTAGTTGTTTGCGATGTGGTCGCCTGTCGATTCCGGTGCTCACGGCTAGGCAAACTAGCGGGCGATCGTAATCAACAGTTGGAAGGACTCTCGCGCGGCTGGGCAAACCAGCGGGAGATTCCTTGTTCTTAGCACAAATAACCTTCTTCTGAGCGCTACTCAGGGCCACAGTAAAGTGACGCGGACTATAGCACCTTCGAAGGTTGAGGAATTTGTCTCTTCTACTTAGCTGTCTGTGACGGGCGTGGGCCGGTCACTGATCAGTGTGGTAGGCACCTGCGGCAGCTGCTGCAATGAGACGGTACTAGGGTTAACCTGTGATGTTGTATTCGTCTTGATTCTCTATCTAAGGAGGCAGAGGCCAGCGTGGAGAAAGGGGGCACGCTGCCCTCAGCCGCACACGTGACCGTACGGGTCACGTGCCAACCATGGTTGGTCACACCACTAGATAGATACATTCCTACAGATAATCTTATTTAATAGT